ATATTAACATAAGAGTTACCTAAGGACAAAATTTTCATCTTGCATTGTAAAGAGATGAAGAAGTCTTATAAACAAAAATATTTATTTGAAATATCTGCTTGAGAAAATATGAGACAATTGGAATTTTTCCATTAGATTACCGCCATCTGTAAAAAGATACCAATGTGTTAATCAGGAAAAATATTAGGGCCAAGACAATTTTTTAATCTTAGCCGTTAATCTATGTTTAATTTTATCCGTACAACTCACTTTGTTAATAAATTTTGTCAAGTAACTTTGTTAAGGTAGCATTAATCTTAATTTAATACTCTCATTGTCCAGTTTTGCTAAACCAAAAGCTTCCTAATTTTTCAATTACCATAAAGTATTGAACACAAATTACAATTTTTATTTTGAGCATTTTGCATAACAAGAATCCGAATTTGAACTAAAAGATAATGACTTTGATTTTGATTGGATATTTAGGCATTTTGCGTAGTCATATCAGTCAAATGTGGCTATGTTATCATGTAAAAGATGGCACTTTTTTGAAAGCAATATCCTTCCCACTTAACCTCATTATCCTACTTTCCAGGTAGACCGTAGATTATCATGCAAGAGCCATAAACATTTATATGTAGAGATTGACTTCGATCAAATTCAAATTATTCAATTTAAACTATATGCCTAACTTAATAATAAAGATCATTTTGACATGTTTTAATTAGAGTACCTTAATAAGCTATAGTAGATGGGAAAAATGTCATGCCCCATCTCTATGTTTTACCTTTTATGGAATTTAGATGACTTAATTGTTTTTTTTTTCTTTTGTCGAACGATAAACTTTTATAAGAGAGAATAGAACACATAATAACATCTAGAACACGGCCAGAAGCCGAATCTAGTCGGAGGACATCCCATACGAGAGCCTAAACTACCACAACACACCCACGATAACACAAACTCCTAACATGAGAATACATATCCTAAAAGGATAATAAAACCCAAAAACAGAGAAACACAGAAAAAATACCTACTACACACAAACAACCTAAAAAACACGTAGTACACACAAACAACCTAAATACAATAAACTAAAGCCCTTCCCGCAGACGGACAAAAACACCGAACAAACCACGACCACAGCACACAAGGTCGACCACCAAAACGGGTCGGATCTCGCCCCTAGTCTTAGAACCAGAAACTGCAAACACGTCTCACTAGCGCCAATACCCACGAACTTGATCCCGCACCCAAGCGGCCGACCCCACCCCTATGCTGGAGAAAACCGAACCCACCCCCACTACAACACCACCGCCCCGAGCCCAACCCACACCACGGCCAGTCTCGTCAAGTCGGTCGTCCCCTCGGCCCGCGCACCAAGGGCAAAGGGGACAGGGGGGAGAGTCCACGCTCCTCAGTCCCAACCACCACGACAAGGTCGTCGGGACCACGAATCTCTGCCGCCACGCCGCCCGGGAGATCGACGACCAACGGCCCATAAAGGCGACCAGGGGATGCGTTGAAAACATAATGGGCCCAGCCATTCAGCTCACCCGGCGCGAGGAGAACGACATCGACAACAGAAGGGAAGAACTGTGCAGCCCAGAGAAGGCCACCGTCAAGAGCCCGACGGCCCGCTGAGAAGGCGCGGCGGCACTGTGAAGAACTTGTAACTAAGAGAGAAGAAGAGTCTTCGCATTCAACAAAAGCTGAATTTTTGACTTAATTGTTAATATTTAACTTTATGCTATAAGCCATTCATATAACATTACTCGGGAAAAAAAAAAATATATGTCATTAATAAAACTAGCCAAAAAATTAGTGATTTGCTAAACACCGTCCCCTTTTTCACTACCTACTGCCCCCTTTTGGACCGTCTTGTCCCTAACATTTTTCCAGAAAAGGAAAAAAAAATCGACCGGCCAAAAATTTTTTTTTTTTACAAATCAAATTTTTATTCATTATAGAAATTATGTTAGAATTTACAAATTACTACGTTATAAATTAGAATTTATTATTATTATGTTAGAACTTAAAATTATTATGTTATAAATTAGAATTGATTATCTTATAAAGTTATTTTTTACATTATTCAAAATTTAATTAGTATTAGAAATAAAATTTTATTTCTGGAAAAAGTATTATCTTAAAATATGTCTATAAATCATTATATTATTTAATGTATATTTTTGTTAGTAGAAAATAATTATAAATGTTATATTATTTTTTTACATATAATTAGTATTTTGTTATATGTTGACAAATTTAAAGTGCTAAAAATTATTAAGTTCTTATATTATAGAATTATTTTTAATATTATTGTAAATTAATTAGTACTAAAATAAATGTTTATTTCTGTAAATAGTATTATATTAAAATATAAATATTTTATGGAATTACTAGAGTCCCGTTGACGGAATGATTCCGTGAGTGGTTGTTACCGTAGATTATCTATACTACATAATCTACATGTGTATTCAACGGTGAAAATCACTGATGGAACTATCCTGTAACGGTATTGTAGTCATCCCCTATATTTATATATAAGTAACGTATTATTAATAACTATTCTTAAATATCTAACCATTTAAATTATTTAATTCTATGTTTTTGAATAATTTCAATTCTATTTTTTAAATAATTTCAATTATTACAAAAATTAAAGAGAAAAAACTCGGCCAATCGGTGATCGCGGCCGTCACACGGAGTTTTAGAAACTAACTGGGTTGGGGCATATAAACATTTTTCTTCGGAGTTTTATCACAATTCAACATTACAATAAATATTTGCAGGGATATTATTGCTTTCTGTGAACCTGTTGTATTGTTGCAAAAAGAATAATTTTTTTCTTTTCTTGTAGTGTGCATAGTGGATGTTGTTTTACCACTTCTCGTCAAATAATAATAATAATACTACAATAATACATTAGTTAGACTAAAGCTTATGGAAAAAGACAATCTTTAGGTCTTACAAGAATAGTTTTAAAGAAGTATGTGGTTATATGTCCCATGTCTATACTAATAGGCCATTATTTAACCAATATTTACAGAATATATTGCATTTGCATTTTGTTTGTTTGACACAACACAAGCACTTATTACAATTGGTCCTTTTGAACTTTTTATTAAGTCCCGAATTACTGCCAATAAAAAGGTTGTATCGACCGTGCTTTTTTTCAATAGGTGGTAGGTCCTCTTGAAACCAAAGCCCACTAATTGATTTGATCAATGCTCTTTTTAGCCTCAATCACAACCTATTTAACTACTACCTTCTTACTGGCTAGCAATCACTGACTTTATTATTATTATTATTATTATTATTATTATTATTATTATTATTATTATTATTATTATTATTATTATTAACCGATTGGATCGATCAAACCAGTCAACCAACCAATCGTGCCAGTCCAATTTTATTTTTCACTTTGAAAAAATAATTTTTATATATATTTCAATATATACGAATATATTTCAATATATCTTTAAGATAAATATATATATATATATGTAATATTAATAGTATATAAATTGTTATATGCATGAACTTAGGCACCCAAATGGTCTACATATCTACATATTTATTTGATGATGCTTTTATTTATAATTTACTGTTTAAGGTAATATCAGTGAACCACTGTTTTTTAATCTATAACTTAATTGGTTCTGTTCAGAAAATATTGTTCTCAAAGTGTCAATGTTGCTTGGGCTTCTTTACCTTTAACTAACAAAACCTGCAAGTACCGAAAATATTTGGAACTAATTAGGCCAATTTGCAGTCATTTCAGTGTTCCACCAACTTCAGTTTACACATTTCCGTTACATCCATTTGAAATTGCAAGATGACATATAACAGTTGCTTAGGAAAGTGCAAAACTTCCTTGTTCTTTTCTGTTTGTAACATTCCTCATTGTATCACAAAATCTCCAGTTTTTCGAAGATCAAGACATGCTTCGGGACAGAGTCTGAGGGAGGCTGACCGTTGTCCGGAATTGACTAGTGGTGTTAGGCAGTTTCGGGATGGTGACGGACTAGGCTAGTGGTGTTAGCCGGTTGGGGGTCGACTGTGGTTTTTTGCGGTTGGAGAGCGGGTCGGTTTTTTTTGGACTGTTTTGAGGCTCGGGTCTTCGTCTTTGCTAGGCATTAGGCAGTGGCGGGTCGAGTTCCTATGCTTTGGATCTTCCTTTGAAGTCGGCTTGGTCTGCTGTACAATCTCGGATGTCTTTGCTGAAGGAGGGCTGTGTTTTAGTTCGTAGTTGTTTTGTTTATTTTGTCGTTATTGTTATGTGTTTGTGTCTGTGTTTGTTCTTGTGTTCTAGGTTTTGGCCGTTGGCCCAGTGCGCCCCCCGAGCGTCATCTTATTATCCTGTTGGGATCAGACGCTTGGGTATTATCCTGGTGGGATCTTTTTCAGTTGTTTTTTGTTTTGTTGGTGCAGTTGGTTTTAGAGTAGTTGCGAGTGTTGTTTTCTAGCTTTGCTAGTGCGGGATTCTAGGCGGTCTTCTGACCTGTCCTCCCAGTTTTATTCAGTTATTGGCTGTCTGTATTCAGCTGGTGGTTGTATCCTTTGCACATTTGTGCGCATTTATATAATATCTCTATCGTTTTGGAAAAAAAAAAAAAAAAAAAAAAAAAAAACATGCTGTTTTTCGTGTGAAAAAATAAAATAAAATAATTAAACACACTGCAGTTTGGAGAAAATATTATGGCTACGACTGAAGTGTAACTATATTTAATAATTCTTTCCGCTAAATTTCACAGAGTAAGGAAATAAAAGTACAGGTCTAAATTTAAGATATTAGTTTAATTATTTTTTGAAAAAATATTAATTAAAATGCTTCACAATGATCCTCCATTAGAGGATGTATTAGGTGGGTACATAATACATCCATAGGTTTCCCAGTTCACTTCCCTCCCTTAGAATAGCTATCTCTCAATGTAACCGTGCGGTTGAACACTAGCTTTCCGGGTATCGAGTCTTTATCAACCACAAAGTAGCCTGTCAAACACAAACAAAAACAAAACTTAAAACCCAACATACCTGATTTTTAAATACCGAGTAAACCAACTTCATCACATCACGCTTCAGTATGTTATAACAAAATTAAATAAATCAATATATATATATACATGTATGTATGCTTAAACGATGGATAACGGGGGTTATCCTCGTAAATATGTGGATGATGTTGAGGAATTTACCTAATCTTTCAAACTGAAAGGTGTCTCCAACTGCAGCATCCTTGAGAAAAGGAACAGCATAGGCATCTGATATAACAACTTTGGAGTTTGGGTTCAAATCATCAAGCCACTTGTCTTCCAGTTCTGCAGGATTCTGCGTACAAAAATATCATTATCCCAGATTAAGTTCATAATGAAGATCCAAAGTCAATGAAAACACAAGACCGGACTTATAAATATATAGATATTTTAAGTAAATATATGAGAAGTTCAAACAAAAAAAAAAACAGAGAGAGAGAGAGAGAGATCCCAACCTCGGAATTGAATAATTTATCAAATAATCTGACTTCAACCTTAAGTGGTTGAATCCCAGGTGAAGACTCTGAAACCCAGTGAAGAACCCCCTGAATATGACCGTAATACATGAAAAAATATTCTCAGATTGCCAATATTTATGAGGTAGTTACAAATATACACCCCAGCTCTGTTATGGAAAAAGTAGAGAACACGGGAATTTCCAATTTTGAAAGGCATGCTTGTTCGTCATAACACGGATAAATCTTCAGGGGTGTTTTTGCAATTAACTGCACTGAATCAGATTACCTTTGGTTTGGTCGTCTTTGATGGATCATACTCTGCGTGAATCTCGACAACAGTCTCGTTATCATCACCTAAAATCACTTCTGTGCACTTGATGGGAAATGCATACCTGCATCAAGGGAAAGGTGTGGATTTAGAATGACATGAAAATTACAGCATAACATATGAAAATTTACTTAATTGTGAAGAATAATAAGCCACCTGAGGAGGACAGATTTCCCGGGAGCAAGTCCATAGTAATCTTTAGAATCTTTCATCCGAAAATCAGATTTTTCGATGTACACAACCTTAGAGAAGGGAACCTAAAAAGAGCAAGGAAGAATGTTACACACCTAACAACAGTATCAAATGTACTTGGTCACACAGTTGCATCAACCCCACACAGATATTTTGAGAAAATAACAGCCAGGAAATGAACATTTGATTCATATTTTATTAAGCAATCCTTTTAAACAGAGAAGTTGCAAACGGTAATGGGTAAACAAGATGAACTACCTTAAATTTTACATGGTTGCCCAAAACATCAGTTAATAATTAAGACACCATGCTAGCCAAGATGGAGTTTTGAAAGTTATAACGCAAGCATACCTTATAAAATGAAGACGCATCATCAGCTGGAGCATCAGGCCATTTCTTTGCATCAAGGTCCATTACAGATTCCTCCATATTTGTAATTACAACCTGAACCACAAAACAAGTAGTTGGAACACAACAATGCAATAGACCCAGGGGAAAAATAAAAATAAATAAATAAATAAATAAATAAAGAGTTAGTGGAATCAATATAAAATCTGTTCGCAAAAATGTAAATTTCAGAAGATGCACACCTTTATTGGATCTAGCACAACCATTGTCCGAGATGCAGTTTTGTTCAGTTCCTCCCTGATATGGTACTCCAGGCGATTTAGACGTATCAGGCTGGAGTCACTGTGCCAGAGGAAATTAACAATCTTAAGAGAAAGTGGAGAGGCAAAATTGTGAAGAAAAGTCAGTGTTATTAATGGCGACATTAATAACACAAAGTAGTGAAAGAGAAGACATGAAGGGGTTATCTTTATAATTGTCAAAGATATTAGATTCAATTTTTGTGATGAGGCGACTATTGAGGTCATTATTTGTAAATTGTCCGAAAAATAAAAAAGCCAACCTTCTAGTTATTCCAATTCCGCGGACGAAGGAGTTTATGGCACTAGCAGTGACACCTCTACGTCTCAATCCAGCAAGAGTCATGAGGCGAGGATCATCCCAACCATCGACCCACTTTTCTGTTACGAGGCGGTTTAACTGCAAATATAACACGAGGGATAAAATAAAACAACAATTGCATTGAAGATTAAGTTGCACAAAATATTTGGCCACCCATACACATATTTCCAATGAAATTTAACGCGCGCACCTTACGCTTTGACATCACTGTGTTGCTGATGTTTAATCGCGAATATTCCCACACGTAAGGCTGGTAAAGGTCAAGTGCGTCCAACAACCAGTAGTATGATGCACGTCGTGTCTCGAATTCAAGCGTGCAGAGCTGCATGCAAAATGACAATTTATATCGAGATTCAAGAGAAACCAGAAAAGACAAGAACAAAAAAAAGGTATTATGAGGGATAGGAAAAAGGAATTCTACAAAAAGCTGCCTTTTGATAATCATTGTTCCAAAATAACAAAAAACATTTTTCTAACTTCCAAGACTGCAGAGAAGCCCAAATTTTAGTTTTTCATATTCTTTCTTTTTCTCAGTTTTTATTTGGGTTTTTCGAGGGGTGGGGGTTTATCAGGGTCAATGTATCATATTCTTTTGAATTATTTTAAATTTTACTATCTCGTGTATTGGGACACTCAACTAACATACCGAATGAGTTATGTTTTCCAGAGAATCAACAATGCAGTGAGTGAAATCGTAACTTGGATAGATACACCATTTGTCTCCAGCATGTGGATGAGTAGTGAACTGCAAAAGACAAATACAATTTTACATCACTTCTTCAAAAATTTTATCTCCCTAAGACTTATGTGTCTAAATGCTCACCTTGATACGATAAGCAATTAAATCATACATATTGAAGTTGTCGCTCTTCATGTCCTGCTTCATTCTCAAAGTGGCTTTTCCTTCCTCAATCAGTCCCTTTTTCATGTCATCGAATAATTTTAGAGATTCCTCGATCGGCCTATCTCTCCAGGGACTGTTCATCTTCTTCTCCCTATATTCTTTAATCTCATCAGGTGTCTGCAGTAATCAACAACAGCATAACAATCAGACTTAAAATTGAATTTCAGGCCATTGATTTTGTGCTTTGAAAAAATTTAGTTAAAACAGCTCAGGCTAAAAGGCTGTTCCCTTCCGGCTTAGAGCACTAAATCCCAATTTCAAGCGTGGGCCTAACTTTACTTAGAACTTGTTAGAAGCTCATAAATGGATTAGTGAAAGATGGAATTAGGAACATAAAAGGAAACAGAAAATGGGACAACAAAATTAAATGAGTTCTTAGCAAGAACAACCTGGTGATCAACGTAAGCATGACCTCGGCGAATCAATTCCACTGCTAATTCATAGAGTTCTTGGAAATAATCACTTGAGTAGGTAATCTGGTAAATATAACACAAATTAAATAACAATCAGACAGAAATACTAACCAGAGGGGAAGAAAGTTTATACCTTAAATGGTTCCCAGCCCATCCATCCAACTATTTCTTCGATATGATCGATATATTCCTTCTTCTCAGCTTCTGGATTCGTATCATCATACCTATAAATATACATCTCAGGAGTAATTTTATATGAAGAGGTGTTTATCTTTGCCAGTTGAATAAAAAGCATTTACAAATGGAAATCTAACAGAGCTGATTTTCAAGTTGCAAGAGCATATTTAGCAAAAAATATTTGAGCAACAAAAAATTTGACATGAACGTTAGTCTCTTTCTTTATTGTGTTCATTGTTAAAATTCTTTAAGTACACACCAACCGTGTTACTGTTAGATCGAAAGGGGAGGGCGAGAGAGATAAAGAGTAATACCAGTGTAAAGTATTTATTCAATCCAATCTTAGACTAACATATATAAACAAGACAAAAATATTATGTTCAGGGAACATAAAAGGCAAACAAAAGGTAGCATAGGTAATTCCTGACCTTAGGTAGCAGCATCCACCTCGCTCTTTTGCTAGTCCAAAGTCCACAAACATCGCCTACACATTCAATTTACAAGATAATAAACAAGAAAAATTAAAACAGAGTACATCCTAACATATTAGTCAGGGAGACAGTTACCTTGGCATGACCTATATGAAGATATCCATTAGGTTCAGGCGGAAAGCGCGTATAAACCTTCCCACCAGTGATCTTCAAATGTTTCTCAAGTATTTCCTTAGTATTGCAAGCCCTGAGCACTGGACGATCGCTGAAAAAGATTTCAGTATGCACCTAGAAATCACCAAGGACAACAGTAAGTAATCAACAGCTGGAAAGCTGCCTATGCAATCTTTGTAAATGAACTATTCAATCCTTGTAATATTTTGATCACCAACCACAATCAATCATCCTTGTATAAAAGAACAGCAAATCAGCCACTGGCCCAAATCATGGAACTTTTCATTTACAAATTACATTACTTGCTCATTCTCACATTTCAATCACAAATAGTTTAAATTGCATCACTCATGAATTCGTCACATCAATTTATACACCCATATCACGTAAATGTCATTTCCATTCTTTCAAAAAAAAAAAAAAATCTTTATAGCAGAGAAATTTATATATATATATATACAACAACAACAACATACCCAGTATATTCCCAACAGGTTGGAATCTGGGGGGTCAATTGTACGTAGACCTTATCCTTATAATTATACAAGGAGGTTGTTTCCGTAGCGACCCAAGGTGCATTGCGCCGTTTAATATATATTTTTTATTCTAGAAACTTCACTAATAGAAGAAGCACTAGAATTTAATTGAGCCATTTTGATCTAGTCCAATATTAGCACTATGCCAAGAGAATTGTCAACAATGATTCTTCCAGCTACATTTGCAATGGACAATATATATATATATATATAGGTATATATATAGGTATATATATATAGGTATATATAAGTTGCGTCTGCTCATAAGGAGAAAAAACAATATTGAAAACCATATCACTACAAGCTCAAGGTTGAGAATTATGACGACAGATCATACCAAACCATACGATACTATTATATACAAAATAAATTCTGCAATTAATTGATTGGCATACGCAATATGGATTTGTGTAAATCATAAATGAACGGGATCATTTATGCCAATCAATTAATTGAAGAAGAAACTTCAGTAATCTTAATAATAGATTCAAACTGACATCCAAGGTTTATATAAATCTAGACTCGCCCTGATATCAAAACATGATTCTTCTAAGAAACATTTGTATTGGTTAAATTTTATATTACTCAACAAGCAGTATCAAATTCAATTTATAGATCTAGATAGCTAAAAGGCCAGCTGAGCTGAATTGTATACAAACAATTATAAAGTATACAATTAGCAAAGAATACAAAGCATCTAGATAGGCTAATGTATACAGAGCAATCAGCCACTCACACATTGGTACTTCGTTTTATACACAAACAACATAATTTTTATCTTTTAGTTAACACTACCTTGAAATTCTGATCAGGTGAAGGGAATATTGAAAAAGGATTGATTTCTTCTTCAGATGGTTTAGCTGGAACTGCCTCTTCAACAACTGCTTTCTCCTGACAAATCAATGCAAGAGTAAATCAAAATGCATTGTCATACAGATATATGGTTACAAGAATAGTGAAAATTGGAAGTCCAAAAGTTCAAGGACACAAATGTGAAAATTTGCATCACTAAATTTTTAGGAATGCTGAAAATTTACAAGAATAGTGAAAATTGGAAGTCCAAAATGTTCTGGCTATTTGTAGCGTTGTGAAAAATGAACATAATTGTAAAATATTTGATGAATTCAGAAAATTCCAAAAGATCAACTTAATGTTGGGGCCAAATGTAAGATGGAACCACACCCCCAAATGTGATTCTTTCAATCTCAAAGTTCGTTAAGTTTATTTTTCTGCAAATACCCTTTCACATCAGTAGTAGTTTTTGTTGCTATCCCAATATATAAATATACAAAACAAGCTTCAACACAAATCAGATTAGCTCACCTCGGTTTTGACAGGCTTCTCTTTCTTCTTTTTTGCAGGTTTTTCATTGTCTGCAGCCGTCTTCTCACCGAGCAGAGCATACAATTTGCTATCAATGATTTGCTGCCACAAAAAGTTTCCCCATCAAAACTTTAACAAATTAAATGAATGGAAACGTTCATTTCAATTTTCTGATTCAGCATCCGTCGAGAAAGAGTTGACGAGCCACAAAGGAACTACCAATAATACCTTTACAATCTTTGGGTCAGCCCATGGCTGTTTCTTTCTTACATGACCAAAAAGTTCACCAACTGCATCCAACATTGTTGATCAAAATAGCTAGGGTTATTGATAACAACATCAATTTCTTAAAGCACTGAAAGGTCAGCAACATGGCTCAACATATTACACAGCATCCACACAAAAATAAAAGAAAGAATGATAATAACTACGTCGTGTTCCTAGTTTTCTGTTCAATACATAACCACACAAAGCATCAACAACAAGCCATGGTCTTGAGAAAGCTAAAGGAAAAGAGGAATAGCATATCCATCATCAATGTATACAAAGACTAAAAGAAACTTGAGGGTTCACGATTCCTATCAAGCCATGGAAAAAGGTAAACAAACCATTTGTTCGATACCGCTGCTCCACAATAACAGCTTTATTCTCTTCAAAAATTTCATTGACAGCATGTTCAATATCTTCTATAGTAACCTCAACTCCTGTTTCATGATACCAAAAGAAAAAAAAAAAAAAAAGTAATTTGATTCAATGATTAGTTGCAAGAGAACACTTTCAAATAAAGTATCTGTACGAGGTAACCAAGTCTACAGAATAAATCATTCTTAAAGCTGCCCTGATACAGACAATATAATCTGCATTGGACATAATTTGCTTGGAATACACCGGCAGCATAAAAGTGAAGCCATGAGGAGGAGGGAGAGAGAGAGAGAGATTTTTTACAGATCGCTGCAAAACCCAAAATATTGGTTACAACTATATAGCAATGGCATTAATCTTCATTGCATACCAACACCACAGGTGGCTTCAAAATCATTGACCTCAAAATCATCCGAAGCCGTAGCAGCAAGAAATGAAAAGGCAGCTTCCAACTGAGCAGGAGTTTTAATCTGTACAAACAAAAATCATTATTTACTGGCAAACAAGTAAATATATTGTAGAGACTGTAATTGGAGTGAAGAGACCAAGGTCTCAAAATATATTATATACAACATAAAGTAATATATTCCAAACCTTTGATGAAACAATATATTTAAGCAATGCAGGACGATGCACGAGCGCATTGGCTGGGAATTTCGTAGCAACCTGCCAATAAATGGCATCAAATGTTTTCCATTTGAAATATTTGTATCTAAAACAAATAGAAGCCCACTTCTACCTTAGGATTTTGCATAATAAACAATCATATTGGAAAACTAAAAACTGTAGAATTAAAATTTATTAGTTGCCATGTATTAAAGCAGTTCTGTGTCCAAAAAAACATTCAATGAATGAAGCATCTCGATTTCTTTCATCAACCAATCTTAAGATCATGAAGGCTATGACAGGGAAATAAACTGGTACGATTCAATTCAACATTTTGTTCGTTTGGGTTAAATATAAATAAATGTGTCCAAATTTCCAACTTACAGTGTACAAGAGATTCCCGACCGTACGATCACAGCCGTCCGTCACGGCAGCCTGCATTACCAAATTCAGAGATGGACAACAAGGCAAGCAAACTTCACAACCAAATGTCATCATATTGACATTTTTTAATTAAATCAGTCAGAGTAATATACAAAATTTATAGGCTACAATATGATGAGATGAAAATATTGATTCAATCAATTTCCATAAATATTGATTCAATCAATTTCCATAGATATGTGTTTGCTTGTTTCTCAAACTAAGTTCACTGTTTTCAATAATCTTTTAAAGATCTTCGATGTCACAAATTTGCACCAGAAGGTGCCGCCAGAAGATTTAGTTTACGAAAGTCAAGATGAGGATGGTTTCCGCTTTTCACAAGAGCTACTACACCTTGAAACCATACAAGTCGTAGACATAGTAATCTAGTTTGAGTTCCTCAATCTTTCAAATTTCAAGGACCCAAGAGGATAAAAAAGAACTCCCAGAACGAAAGAAAATTAACAATAAGAAATTCAATCTTTCAAATTTCAAGGACCCAAAAGGAGAAAGAAGAACTCCCAAAACGAAAGAAAATTAACAATAAGAAATTAGATATAGATAGATAGATAGATATAAAATGATGCACAAGACCAAATAAACTTTCTGTTTCCAGTAATAAATTACCGGGTAGCTCTAATTTCTACATAAACCCATGAAAAGTTCAGGCTTGAAACCACTCTTAGACAGAACCAACATGCAAGAAGCAATATATTTACACACAAAAAACATCAGCTACCAGACATAATTGGCCGAGAGAAAAATCTACATACCTCGTGAATAACGGCAGTGAGATTAGCCGTGACCTTATTGTTAGCTACGGTGTTTTTGGCGGTCCTCTCATCCAAACCGATCCTTAGAAACAAATCTAAAGGCTTATCGCCGCCAGAAGTAGCCTCGCTCTTCCCCACCATGTTTCCCCCTCTGCAATATCGTGTCCCTTCTAGCAAGTGTAAATATTAGAGAAAATAAAAAGATGAGCTTTGTAATGTGACTCTGCGTGAGAAAGGAGGGTCTTTCACAAGTCGCAACCCTAGCAAGTTACAGTGAATTAAAAGAGATTCGCCGGAGAAGGGTTAGAATTGGAATTTGAGATCTTTGAATATCGGAGTTGGGGATATTTATTTAGTCATACTCAAGTCAATAATTAATTACACAAAGGAATCCACTGGCTGGCCTGGAGCAAACTGACTTTAGCCAAAAAGCATGGAGGTCTCGGTTTCCAGGACATACAACTTTTCAACATAGCCCTTATTGTCAAACAAATTTGGAGGCTGGTCTCAGAGCCTGATACACTGGTGAGCAGGGTACTCAAATCTAAATATTATCTCAATTCCTCCATTTTTTAAGCTCACATTACCCACAGCTCATCCTGGCTTTGGAGAAGTTGGCACTCGATTTTGCAGATTTGTGCCAAATAGATGCAGGTAGAGATCAGAAGTGGCACTAGCATCAAAATTTGGGATCAACATTGGCTACCTACACTCACAGGCCAACAATTTGAACTGTTGCCGGGCATTGACAGGAACTATATATGGGTAAAAGATCTAATGACCACAGATGGGTGGAATTGGGATGCCAGGAAGTTAAGAAGCACATTTCCTCCTCATATTTGTGATCTGATCCATACTATCAAGACACTCAATCCCACCCAACCTGATAGATGGACATGGAAGCTTCACAGTAAAGGGATATTCTAAGTAAAATCCACATATGCTCATCTTATAACTGAAAAATACCTCAAGTCAGAATCAGCTCAAGGGAGTGTGGACTTGGCCAGGGCCTTTCAAGTCAGGAACAGAACATGGAAAATGCAGGTAATGGGCAAACTAAAACACTTTATCTGGAAATGCTGTAATGGCACATTACCTGTAAATAAGAACTTGCTGGCTAGAGGTGTTGCAGTGGACAGTATCTGCAATATGTGTGGTGATGAAGTAGAATCTATAGAACATTTATTTTTTCATTGTTCACTAGCCAAGCTGGTATGGAAGCACTCCCCTGTACAGTGGGAAGGACCTCAAGAACATGCAAGCTTCCATGACTGGTGGTGGTCCGTTTGCCAGTTGGACAAGTCAGAGACATCAGAGGCAAGGATTCAGCTCTCTACCTACATACTCTGGTGGCTCTGGAAGACTCGCAATTTATGGATGTTTGAAAAGACTCGAAGGCCTGCTCATCTCATTGTCCAAGCAGCCTTGAAGGATTGGCATAACTACAGGACAAGCAGATTATCCAGGCCTTGACATGCTCGATCCATTTCTGTTGTGTAATGTTATGTTTCAGTTTTCCTTTTCGATTTTTGTTCTTAGTTTTTCAGACTTCGGGGTTAAGGTTCCAGAAGTGCATCTGCCTTAGCCCATATTTGCCTAAGTTGCTGTTTAGTTGGGTTCTAGGCCACCAGTCTTGTGTGGTTCTCTCATTTCCCGGCTTGTAGTGATTGTATATTTGTGTTGGGTCTATCTTTTTAGACTACAAAACATTGTACTTTTTTTTATTTGAATGAGATTTCCTATCGTTTGGAATTTTTATTAAATAATATTTATAAATGAAAAATATGGAATCAATATATAATACAATGTACTTATATTAATTTATTAAAAATTTATATAATATTTAAATTGTGTAATACAATGTACATATTGATTTATAAAATCAATATGTATTACATAAAAATGTCTATTTAAAATTAGTACACAACTCGTGCATTGCACATAGCTGATAATAAATTACATTACATTCGTTTCAAAATATGTATCATTTCAAAATTTTTATTCAGAAATTTGCTTGGACTATAACGTGATTCCATAAAATAATTATTTTGGTAAAATTTTATCATATATTTAGAAACTTGTGTGAATAATAAATATAAATATAAAACTTATATTGTTTCATTAATTAAAATAAATTTATTTTTGTATAAAATATTCGAATAAAAAAAGTAGTTGAGTAAAATCAATTAGACATAAAAAAATTTTATGTTATGCTAAAAAAATACTCTTTATCATGCTAAAAAAATGAATAGTACAGCTCACATAAAAATTATTAGAAATTTTGTAACAAAAAATGAATTAATTGAGACCCAGAAATTATACAAAAAAAATAATTGACCATAATTTTTTCTATAAGAAAAGCATCGATACACGCACATTATATCAAAATATTCGCTCATGTTATTTTGTCGGAGTTACGATAATTTTATTATGTTAATTTCATACGAAAAATTGAAATAAAAATTAAACCCACGTCTAAAAACCAATATATTGACTTGCGCATTACAAATAAAAGTACACCGTATATTGATTAATTTTTCAACAAAGTTGAATGTTCCTACCATAAAACAGTCATCAAATAACCTAATAAATTTGCTCAATTTATACCATATATTAATTAATTTATTTCCCATAGAAATAACCATCAATACTAAAAAAAATATGTCCACTTTATACCATATATTAATTAATTCACATAATTTGAGCAATCATGGTATCATAAAATATGGCTTAATGATTTCCTTAAACACTTGATACCATATATTAATTAATTTGCATGATTTGAGTAATCAATTATCTTAAAATATGGTTTAATTACTTCCGTAATTAATGAGCCACAATTTCCATAAGTGCTTATTTAAAATATACCATAAATTGTTAAATTAATTTCTCGAAATAGTAAATAATTTATTTTAGAAAAATAGTTACTATTTAAAAAATAATCAAATCTTTTTTTATATATATAGATATGGATATGCTTAAAAAATCAATTTATGCTTCCGATATCTTTCCAAAGAATGGAATTTCTTTTTTCTTTCAAACTGCAAAAGAAGCTGTCAATATTAGAAGGCGGTGGGTGAGCTACCTGTTATCCTGATGGGCCCTAAAAATGGCCAACCTGACTCGCAATTAGAGGGGTTGGAACGGGCTAGCAGGGTGGGTGACCCATAGCCCGCAGTTTGGGGGGAAAGGCGGCCTGCAGACATGGCAGGCTTAAAAAATAGCGAATCAACTCATTCTTGCCTCGGACTGCAAGCCTGCCAA